TTACTATAAATTATGTGTTTTTATATTATCTCGTGAGTACATTGTTCCAATGTGGTTTGACATAATTAATGTTTATTATTTTATTTAGCGCAATCGTTGTGGAATTTCTGAGAAATACTTTACAAGTTAATCTTCTAAACCAATTTGTGTACGTTTAATATTGATCATGTATACTATATAAAAAAATACATATTTTAATACAATCTACACTTCTATATCGTAACATACTCTATATTGAAAAGATTTATAGGTAGGTAATGTAATCTCTCCAAACTTCATATAGAAAATATTTATATTTTTAGATCCGTGTGTACGTAAATAATCCATACTTAATTTTTTACGGAACATCGAATTTTATTTTACCATATCATTTTTATGTCAACATTAAAATGATTTTTATGGGTTAAATAATTCATTATTTAGGGAAGGCGAAGAGAACTGAATCTCATTATTTAATCTCTTACTTTGTGGTCTTCACTTATCTACTATCTCAAAACCATACTAGCCTATGATTACTTTTTTTATTTAATGCAATATTTAGCAAATATTTACAATTTTACTAAGAACACGACACACCTACAATCACATTGGAAAAATTACTCACGATATTTATAATTTTCCAGTTAACTTTCCATAGTTCTTAGTATAGATACAGTATTTACCAGTGGTGATGAATACAAGTCTGTAGTCTAAATATGTAAATGTAAATTGTAGAGCTTCTTGTTCCATGCGCATCGAAGCGCTGGAAATACCAACAGATACTGGCCATTTGCGTCAATGCCTTATCCCATACACGATTCATAGACGCTAATAATTAGATTCATTTATTCATAATTCGACGTAAACGGCTTACGACAGTGTTAATGCGACTCCAATTAAAGCTGTGTTCTATTTATAAATTATATATTTACAGTCATAGATAAGATTTTTATTTTGATACGTTCGAACGTAAGCAATCGCCGAGTTTTAATAACGCCTAAGTGATTTTATGTTTATATATGGATATATGTTTCATGTTTAAAATCTACTGATATATACGATATATTTAGATATTACGTACTATTTTAGTAGGTAGGTACCAAATAGCACCACCTACTTATGCTATGCCAGTTCTGATCACTAGAATGAACATAATAAGATAGAAACAAACCATCGGTTTATTTTATAAATTAAACTTTGTCGTGGATTATCATTCAATATTTTTATCCGGCGAAACTGCAAAGTCGAATGCTGTTCATACCACAACAAATACTGACAAAAGTACAGACAAATAATATTATAGCTACTGAATCAAAGATTCATCATACAAAATCAACCGCAAAAACAACAATCAGATTTATTTTTAAACTAGTAAAACATGTACATGATTTGCAACATCTATTTTGGTAGAAATGCCAAATAAGTCCGCATAAATCGGTACGATCAAATATATTAAAAGAAACTACCAAATATAATGTACAATTGACACATGTGTGTACGTGCATCGCCTCGCGTGCCTACCCAATATGCATACAAAGCCTACTATAACCAAATTAACATAATCATTTTATTAGCACATTGACTCACACAACTACCACCAAAACATTGTTGTAAACTGTGATGTTGCGAGAGTATAACGTTTTTTAATATAACAATAATAAATAAATAACTGCTGTGTTCAGCGCTATCTATAGTCCCACAGTAAGCAGAGCTTGTGTTAGGATGGATCCTATGCCACTGATATAAATACTTAGATTTTATTTTTTAAGTACTTACATAATACAGATACATAGACACCCAGATGGATATAAACAGTCATACTCGTGAATACAAATGTTTGCACCGTGCGAGGAATAGACCCCGCGACAATCGGAAGTAAAACGGTTTGATAAACCGCTAAACTACAAGGCCGTCAATATAAAGTAAAATATAATTATATGTATATAACAAATATATTAACTACTTATTAAGGTAGTTGACCTTCACGCCTGTTGCTCTTTTGGGTAGCAAGAAGCAATGGAACAGACTTTCTAATAAATTAATTTTATGGGCACTATAGTTCACTCCTTGTTCCAATTTATATTTTGAAAGTGTAATTATCTGTCTATATGTTGGAGTGAGATCGTGTGGTTTTTTTTATAAATAATATATAGCCCACGAAGACGTCTTCGTGATACAATTTTCAAGTAAAATGTTACTAAGATTCGTTTACCTGTTTAGTCATTATATTCGAAAGTATTTCTGTACACTTTTACACTCACTAAATAATAATTAACATTTCAAAAATGAATTATAAATGCGATTTATCTGTCTACATACACTAAACAAATAAATATATAGTAGTTATAGCCTACACAAATAAATCTTTTTTTACTTTTCCATGCGGCTATTGAAAGGTTATTCAGCAAGTCAGACTAGGTGTTTTATGTAATTCATTTAAGAATTCCATAACACCATATGTTAATTATGATATCGTGAAGGTAAATCAATCTATACCAAATTATCTCAGTTCTTAAGTTTGGATGAAATACCTAATAGAAATAAAATTTATAAAGTGGTGACTAATAAACTTGATAAACAACAAGTGTTTCGCTAATAATTTACAATAAGCTTTGATTAATTTTGGCACGAAGTCAGTACAATTTGATATTTTTATACAATAAACCCGTTAATGTTAATAATAAGCCGCTGTACATATCATCATAAACATAGTAGTTCGCTTTTTTGGGTTAAAAGATAACGTATGTCGGTCATCGAAACCGACAAATCATACATATATTTTTTCACCTTATAAGTTTTTAATTAGATTGAAAAAGCATAGAGATATATATTGAGAAGATATAATTGGAAATTTTAAATAGTAACACTGATGTGGTTATTTTGACAGTAAGCAAACATAATTGAATATATTATAATATATACATATCTAATATTATTTGCACCGCCAACAACTTATCTCTGCACAACTCATAGTTGACTGGTAGAAAATGTCATTGGTGTAGTTTTTAATGATGTATAACGTGCATTAAAGTTATTTGAATAAAAAATTGCATTTGAACACCCTAAAGATAACTTTGCGATTGCCTGGCCATGATTGCGGTACGCTGCGCTACGTTTGTCCTTACTGCACCGCATCGCAAAAATTTAGACTACCTTTCAATATTACGTAGCCTATAAAAATTACCAGTTTACTCCTTACGCTATGATTCGTATGAAATAAGGTGATAGTATCCAAAACTGTAATGACGAAATGCAATTGTATTCATAATTTTGAAAGCAACTCCACTTTCATTGGTGATTTACTACCGCTATAAACGCATGAATCAGACGGCAAACCCGATGCGTATGCGGCGTTCACGTGTGTAGTGTTCCGCACGCGTGACCTCCATATTAACACATTATTGACATCGCCATCAAACAGCAAATAAAATGTTGGAACTTTCTAGAATTATAATTAACTTCTCAGAGGGGTAGAATGCATATGCGAAACTCCTGACTTCGGCATAGGCTGTGTTTTTTTTAAAACGATGGGTAAAAGTCCTATTCACTGCCTCGCCATCCCTCAGGCAGGGTGGCTTTTGCAATTTTATATATTTTTGTAATTTGAGTGACATATATAATAATATATTATATAACAATACTGACGATCCATCGGATGATGTAGTAAATGGTAACCTACGCCTGAATTTATTCATCACGTTATCATCCAGTAAGAATATATTAACGAATTATGTACTAAGACGTCATGCTAGGAAGTGCATGTAATGACACTGCTTTTTCGTATGCTACAACCGAAATACAACTTACTAAGCTACTTGGAAGTTCAAATTGAATTTCAAGAGGTTCTAGGTGACTTTTTTGAAAATATTCGTAGTAACAAAATTATTTATAAAAACAGGATAAACCCAGTTCTATTAAATTTTATGATTTTCCTGCATAGAAATTTTTAGTGTCATGGTTATGACATCACAAAAAATACAACATTTTGACGTCATTATAATTTTTGTGCGTATATTATATGCGCACAATAAATGCGATGACGACCTAGTACCTGGATTTTCCTTAAAGACGTTATTGAGATAGATAAACCGCCAAAAACATAATCGTGCAAAAACAAGATACGTGTATCAATAAAAGATGTATTAATACGAACAAGTTAAATACTCAGTACACCTGTTAAGATTAGATATATTAGACGATTAGAATATTTAGAAATTCTAGTTACTGAAAAATTTGTTAGGATACAATAAAATCTATAATCTTATGAATATCTAAATATTCTAGTGACTTAGTTTAATTAATAATAACAATTATTATTATTATAGTAAGTGACTATACAGGCCATTGCCTATATAGTTATTTAGTTGATGTTATGAGTTCATTAACTACCGGAAATTTTTTACAAAAAATATGACTAGTAATTGCAATATAGAATGTTTTTCAACAACTCGTCATCATAGTATGTCATCACGCGTATTACTACTTTTCATGTTTAAAAATTAAATGTTGTACACATTACAACTCCACGTCAGAAGTAGATCGTATCTGTATTGTTGTGCCTACAGAGGTGACTCGCACAAAACTCTATCTTAAAAAAGCTTTACATATTTAACGATTATCCCAAGTTAAAGCGAATTGTTTAGATCTTCTAAATAATTTTTCTAGTTATTTACCATATTTTTTACAAGGAAAAACTTATATAGTCGTTGCATCCGTTTTTTTAAGGATGATAATGGTATGCTGTCTCAGGACTCCAGCGAAGGATGATAAGAATACAAAATAATTGACGCGCGAAGTCAGGTCAGTTAGGCCACTTGCCTAATTCTCCAAGAATTAACCATGATGGTTTCAACTGGAGGCCGCAGTGTGGAGGTCGACCTGACAAGTATTAGTTGCGTTACGTTCTTCACGTTCAATAGCATTACCTATATCTAGATATAGAACAGGGTTTATCATACATAAGCAAAAAACAGTCCTTATGATGTTTTGAAATACATGTTTTTTTTTTCCTTGAATTTCAGAGAGCAGTGGCAACATCCTGGGTGCCAGTGAGTGGAACACAGGGTACCCTTCTACGGCTGCCGTGTACCCTCCCTATGGGGCCCTACAGCCGTCGTACTATAAACCTGAGACTACTGCTGTACATATACCTACAGGTACATATAAAAACGATTTATATACTCTTTATCTAGACTTATTTCTTCTCTTCTTTCTCTCATGCTTTATACAACGTCGAATGCGAATACCTCTCCCTCTGTTTATTTCTATCACTAAGCAGCTTGCTTTGTAAGGCTCCAACTCTTCTTCACTGAAGCGGCTTGTTGGAGAAGTTTGTACAAATAAGAGAAAAAGAAGAAAACAAACTAGAGACATGATAGTAAAATTACATGGTACGAAGATGTGACACCATACTCCTCAAGAATGTATTACGTCAGCGTCACGTGACAATATTACATATTTAGTGTAGGTACCTGCTTAACTACTTAACGTTTTCTTTTCATTCCCTTAGAAAATTATTTCCCTTCAAACTACCCTACAATTGATTAAAATTAAATGTACTTCTATAAGCGCGTAAAACATCTCGTTAGTGCATTATATTTTTAGTACATATTCCCAGAAATAAATTATTTAAACATAATTGTAACCTTCTAATTTCCATGTAGGATAATGAAATTAAATTAATTAGTGTATTTAATAACAGCATTAACTTGTTATAAACAAACCTCCTCAATTTACAACTATGTAATGTAGTGGTTGACCACAACGATTGCTGTCGTATAATGAGGTTCAAATCAAAAGCTGGAAACGATTTATTTAAGCTAATTGTTGTTACAGGTGATAATAATATTTAAATGTTAATTTCAAAAATATGTTTATAAAATTTATGAACTTCACAAATTATGAAAGAGGCAGCAATAATATAGCTGACGTTAAAGAAAATGTAATGAAATTTAATTGTTAAATTATTTACATATCACACTGGAACCAAATAAATTGAGTATCGCCATAACATTAATTTAACATATTTGAAATATATATTGTAATATTATTACATTAAACACAATAATATCGTTGTCATATAAAGATATGGGAAAGCCCATGATTCAGTTAATTAAAACAACGTCACTGGTCAAATAGTGTTGTATTTGAATAACATATATTATTTACATTTATTTCCTCATCTGTTTATTAATTATGTAAATGCGTTTTTTCACAGTAATACCAGATATTCCGTTGGGGCACTCAGAGTACGGCGGCTACCAAAGCAATGCAGCGAGTTATAAAGGCAGCCCCAGCGGTGCAGGTCCTGCTCTCACAGACCTCAACACCACCGCCATGCCAGCGCAGCGATACGACCCCACCTATTACAATGCCTGGCAGACGAACAACTACAACTACAATAACTACCAATATAACAATATAAATAACAACACGGCTTGCCTACAATCCCCTGCGCCGTACATCAATCCTAACCCGCAAATGATCATGCCTAACCTTTATTCAACAGTAAACCAGAACCAAATACATGTTCATCTGCACAGTTCCATAGATAAACACCATTTGGAACAGTATATTCCGAGTGAAATTAAAATTAGCGATATTGATGGTGGAATATCGATAACTGCCGAACTGCAGGGCAGCGCTGAAGGAGCAGGGCTGGTGCAATCTTGTGAGTCAAACGAGGAAGCCAAGCACGGATTATATGGCTCTGGGAGTCAAGAAGTGTGGCGACCTTATTGACAGTTCGCTTCTCCTTACGAGGACAATCAACATTCCGTTGTACATATTGTGATATAGATGTGAATACTTCATAATATAATTGTATAGAAATATTAATGTTAAACATTAATTAGATGTTATTTGTTATAAACCTACCTATTAAATCAAACAGTAAGATATTAAATTAATCGACAAATTCTTTTGATTTTTTATTTATCACCATCAAGAATCCAATGAAGACCTATAGCTTGATCAAGAATCAGACGCAAACTTTTTTTTAAAGATTTTGCGATAACGAAATATTTATTATGCAGCTAGCTAGCTTCATGTTCAGTCTTATCCTAAACTAGTGCCTAGTTTAGGATAAGACTGAACATGAAGTCAGGTCAGTTTAGCATCATGGTAAATTCACAAAGAATTGACTAAGAAAGTTCCGAACCGTGTCGACAATCCCCTAGGATTGTCGATTCCTACGATAACGATAGGTACTAAATTCATATTTTCAATATCTACTGTCAGAGTAGACTATGTGAAGAAAAGTATGAATGAAACACAATTGAGTTTATTCTCGTGGTCGCCAGTTATCAAATTTCGGTTAATGCCCGTCGTCGGAAGTAGAAATAGGAATATAACAAGGATATAGGCTATTTTAGTCCTGGTCAACCAAGTTATCCTAATCATCCTGATAAGATCACTGGTAAAAACTAATAAAATGTCAATTTGTAAGTATGATTATTGTTAGCTCTACTATTGAAGTTGTCTTTACTTGAATAGTAGGCCAAAGAAAAACAAGTTACCTATAGATAGCCTGAAGATGTAGATTGGAAAAGCTGGTAGTTCTTAGAAAAATGCACTCAAGGCTAAGCAATTACAATGTACGTAGATATCTGTACAATGTACGTAGATACTGAATTAGATTTAATTCTGCTTTAAATAATAGAAATACCTTAGTATATACAGTGTCATATTCATATTTTTATCTAACTATATGGAATGGTAAACAAACTGACGGACTGCCGGCCCACCTAATGTTACACTTAACATCTTGACGACGATTACCACTGTAATCGTCGTCAAGATAAAGGCGCCACGGACATAACATCATCATACTAGATGAGACGCCTCTCGCTACTACCTTCAGGCCTTGCCATTTCGAAGGACTAAGATATTACTCCACAGCCTGTAACTTTTTTTGGCTATATTTCAATATTCAAAATGATAGAGTACGGAACATGAGCCGAACAGCCGAACACCGTCAGCGGCATAAGGGTGCACTATTCTATGTTTATTCAGTTCAAAAAAGGATGAATCATTACTAAAATTATTGTACTCATATATTTATATTTTTTAATTTAACATCTGTCTAGAATCACGATAATAATAGTGATTAACTAATATCAATTATTAAGCACGGATCAGTTTTAAATTTGGCGCCAGTAGTCTATGGCTCTGTTTTGACAACTCATCTGCTGCGCAACTCAAATATTATTTGTCATCGTTTGCATCGAGTTCAAACCATTGTCAAGCCACTCGTAAAGACTCGATTGTGTTTCTTTCGATCTGTTTTCTTTTAATTTCACTGCTTTGCATTTTTTATTCTTGAAATAATAGTGAATTAATTGTTATAAATTATATTAATTAAAAAAGAAGCAAAAACTAATAATATGTGGTAGAAAACACATATTGGGTATGTATGTTTTCTACCGTATCCGTTCGATTAGTAGAAAAAAAAATTTATATGGCAACTCGCATTGTGCTACGTGATAAAATGGCGGTGCCTGTATTTCATAGAACCGTAACTGACGACCTCAAAAAATAATCCTTTTTGTGACAATTTTAGTGATAAAGTTTAATAATTAGTTGCTCCTGGACCGGTTATATCTTATTAATTATTTTATAAGTGTAAGTTCATCTCATGTACTATTCAATTCATAATCATTACAGGTTTCTGATAACGGCCGACAAATGCAAATTCAATGTCTATTCTCGAATTAATCCTTAACATTTGCTTACAGTCAAAAAAGGGCCTCTTATAATATTGGTAAGAGTGCAATGTCCGAAGAGACAGAACGCCATGGCGAAGCGACGTGTGACGGCAGTGCAGGCGGCGGAGGCACCAAAGAGACGCGCGTGTTAATGACCCCGCACCAGCTCGAGAGCGCCTCCGTCGACTCACTGCGTACCGCGTGGAGATCCCAGGACTTGTACATAGACCACCTTGAATCATTGAACAAACAGTTGGAAGGTATTTACGAAAGTTTCGGCTTGTAGCGGTCCGCGTTTGTGTCCGATCGAATCTCGATCGAGTTATGTTACTCTATATCGACAATACTTTAACTAAAATTACTAGTGATACTGTTATGGCGCAATATTGAATATGTTACTGTGATAAAAATTGTTACTTATGAAATTTGTGGTACGGAGGTGTATTTAGGTGTTATAATATAGTTATGAGAAGAGATTGGTGTGTCGCGGTGCCAGTGGAGTGTTATGTGGAAGTGATTATGGCGCAAGCCCCAGTGAAGTCTCCAGAGTATCCTGGAGCTGTGTCTATGTTTAGTGCCGTGCCACTAGCTCCCGTGTCCAACAGGAGTTCACAGTCTGCCGGTGTTTGTTCACATGCAAAAGTAAATATGTTTTCTTACTTATTTTTATGTAATATTTAATTATTTTTGTCTAATTATTCTAATTGTGTCACCAAAATATCTATATACTGACTATGAACAACTGGTTTTGAGAATCACATGAAGATATGGGAAGTACTGTTTTTCATTTGACACACAAAATACCTATAAGTTTTAAAAATAAACAATACTTAGTTACATTCTGGCAACAAACAGTTTATGAGTTTGTTAGCTTGTAATACTTTCAGAGTAACACATTCATGTATATGTTTGATATTTAGATGGGACTGAACCTGGACCTTCTGCATGTGTGAGTTTATACAATACAAAGAGAAAATGATTTTCCTCTTTATATACAGTATACAATATCAGACAGTAACACACTATTCATCACAGATAGCATACAAAATATACATATTCTGTCAATATATTTAATATATATTTTAATTTCACTAATACAATTAAATACATTATAAGATCATAATAAATATTTATGTATAAACATCGAGGATGAATTAAACATTGAACTTCATATTGAATTGCAATATGAAGATAAATGTTTAATTATTATCATATATTTAATAACTGTAACATGCAGCTAAACTTGTTTTGATTAGAACAAAAGTCATTAATACTCTATAATATTGTTAATTTGTGTTTTTTTTTACTATAACATTGTGATGGATATTTTATCAATTTTATTATAAGTATATATTTAATTAAATATATAAATAAAAGCTAAGTATATGTATTTGTAATCTACAAAATATAGATATTAATCCTTAGTAACTGCAATTTTGTAGTGAATGTGTTAAATATAGTTCTTAAAGTACTTTTCCATGCTCTCTATGTGTATGAAATTAATGTTGAAACAAAATCTAAACACTTTTTCTTTTTGTCATGCAGTCAAATACATAAGAGAAGTAGGTTTTATAGAAAAACTATTACATTAGGCTTATAATAGATTTAGGCATGATCAATATTGAGTTTAATATGTGTATCTATTAATCTTCTTTATCTCTTAATCATCTTGCTTCGTAAACAGTGACTTTTATTTTACATTAATTATTTCAAAATATATACCATAATCTGAAATAATAAACAGCCATTTAAGCTATGATTCTTTTTTAATTATTATTTTACCAATTAAATAGGAACTAACCAAGAGTGTGACTTTAATACTATTAATGACTTTAATAGTATTAAAGACAATGATAGTTGATGTGATTTATATAAGTAAATATGGTATTATACAAACATTTTATTTCAGTAATACACATATATAGATATTTAACATAAAATAAAATAAAATATTTTGTTTAGTCAAAATTATGTTTTTATTTTATGTTAAATTAAACCTTATATACACATCATCAATTTAATCCTAACTTAATTTTTACAGAAATACATATATATGTATGTATTTGTGAAATGAAGCTTCTATAAATCGTAGAATATATAAAGATTATAGTAGTTTAAATCGGACATATACCCATTGGAGGTAAAATTAAGTGCCACTTATCTATTGCCTAAATACCTATATATGTATGACTGTATAATAATATGTTCCTAATTATTGACATTTCTAAAAATGCTGTGTGTCTATTTGTTGTAATTTTTTAATTAGATACTCTTTGGCTTAGACATCTCTTTATAAGGAGACTCCTTAATTAGGTTTTGTACCAACAGACATTAGTTCTCTGGCCTCATTCTCTGGCCATCAAGCTAAACCAGCTTGATGGCTGTGGGATTGATTCCTCACATGATGCAAACATTTGTATTCATGAGTAAGATCATTTATATTGGTCCAAATGTTTTCTATGTACATTATATATAGTAGTATATATTACTATCAGTTGTCTAGTACACAATATTTATTATTATAATTAATTATTTACAAAATAAAGAAAAATCTTGTAGAGACTGGTCATCACTATGACTGAATTATTCTTATTTAGTTACCAACCAGTTGGTTATGTCTTTATTATTTTGAGAATGGATTAGTGCGGGCATTGTATTCACATATTTCAAGTTAATAGTGTAAAGTAAGTACAACTAAAATAATCAAAAGAACAATAGGCAAGTTTCTTTCTTCTGCTTGTGAGACAGCTTTTGGAATGAGTAAATAAGAAAAAAGTAATGACTATTCTATTTCTTTAATGTAAGTTTATTTGAATAAAGAATTTTCTACTCTGTTCTATTTTTAAAATAGTGGTACTTATATGTACCAGGAATTGCAATGGATGCATTGTTATTGTATTCTCAAAATATCAATACAGCCAGATAATTCAATCTGAAAATGGCACTGATATGAAACCAGTTGATGTACATATATTTTATTAATATGTAAAATATATTAACTTTTATATAATTATAAGTCATACTGTACTTTTTGTTATGTTATCAGTGACAGTATAGATGCTACCAAATTATATGCATTTCCTTCTATCGGGCCATAATATTGTTATTTATACATTTTAATAAGGATGGGATTATGTATGCCACAATTTATAATTTTTTAATGTAATGTGCTTAATATTTTTGTACTAAAAATATTTTTAATATATACCAATACTCCATTTTCGGTCATTTTAGCCAATAAAAACAACTGTTACATTACATACACTGTAAGGGATGTTGATGAAGGCTTTCCGCATAAATAAATATGTATTTACATGCAGGATTTTTTTAAATTGCTACATAAACATAAATCCTGTATTATCTTAATAATTTATATAAATAACACTATTGCAGGCAATTCAGATAATTTGGTAGCACCATAACCAGTAGATTATGTTGGTTGAATCTACTTTTGGAAACTTTATAATATATCTTAAAACTGTTTTGAATCTGTAAGAGATTCTATTTTCTTTGTTTTTTTTTTTGCAGATCAGATAGAGTTTTATTTCGTGTTTTTTTTTTATTAATAGATTGATTGAAAATTATTTTTCATCAATTTCATTATTATGGTGATACAAATAATACAAATAATATTTGTAACTTTATATTCCATATTTCAAATCTTGGGAATATGAGGGTGTAATATTTTGGTTTTAAAATAGTACTAATAATATTTATCTGCCTATGTCTGTGTCTAGATACCAAACCTATGCGTATCAAGGTGGAAGTCAATGCTGAAAAAGCCTTGTGCTATGTGACATAAAACACTTTTGATAATTTTAACCAGTCTAAAATAATGTTTCATTTTAGTACATTATTTACGTAATTATATTCAGATTATGTAAATAATGTATAGTTTAATGTAACTGATAACTATTTCCTTTAAATTAGTAATTATCAAAATGTCACTAAAATTATCCTAAATAATTGACTCCGTCAATGTATAATTAGTCTAAGTTTTGTAATTACAGTGTTATAGTATATTAGTTAAGGTGTTGTCGATGTAGACTGTATTGTGTAATACTTAAGCCATTTTATATGTAAGGAATATAATTATTAAAGTGACATATAGGTACAAAATATTTTACAGTTTTAGGTGAATGCACTTCAATCATATAGTACTTTCTCCACAATATTTGTACTGCATATAGTACAATTCTTCCAGAAAGTTCTTCAGTCTTAGTAATTTGATATGAACCTGCTAGTTACGAATATATCAATATTAGAAGAGAAGGCATTGTTAAACCTGCCTCATTCACACCACCGAAAGATGAATCACCTTAATGCATAAAATAATAACACTACTGTTATTCAATGGTAGTAAACACCACTAACTAACCAAATTCATGAAAGGTTGGTCATATTTGATTCAAATATGGATATCCAATGGGATATCCAGATTTTATTAACTGTAATATTGACAATTGATTTTTTTTCCGATTATCCCATCTGAGGTTACCAAATTATGAGAATTTGTTTATAATTAATGATTCATAATATTTAAATTAAGATTCATATGTACAGGAAGCTTGGAAAAGAAGAAAGAAATAGAAGAAAAGATTACACAGCAATATGCAGAATCACAACGCAGAGAAAAGGTACTAGTCAGAAGATTAGCAGCTAAAGAGCAGGAAATACAGGATTATGTCGTAAGTATATATATATTTATATATATAGTAATTTTCAATCATATACTTAATCAGGATATTTTTATTTTTTAATCACAAGTCATCCATATTGTCTTTCTTGTTATTTCAACCATTCAGTATGAATGACTGAATTCGGTATTAGTTACAAAATAATAAAAATATTGCATAGAAAATTGATAGGTCTAATAATTTCAGGAATGTTACTGCAGCTAGTTAGTTGCTGCAGTAGCTAACTGTAAATATAACTACAATGAAAATATCACTTTTCAGAGTCAAATAGCCGAATTAAAATCATCAAACGCAAATCTGAATGGGCGACCTACTCTTCTGGATCCTGCTGTAAACGTGCTTATTTTACGATTAAAACAAGAGCTAATTTCCACGAAGGCTAAATTAGAAGAAACGCAAAATGAACTATCAGCATGGAAATTCACGCCAGATTCTAATACAGGAAAGAAATTAATGGCAAAATGTAGGTTGTTGCATCAGGAGAACGAAGATCTCGGCCGCATGACTTCCAGTGGGCGGATAGCAAAGTTAGAAGGCGATTTAGCACTACAAAAGAGTTTAAGTGAAGAAGTGAAAAAGTCACAATCGGGTTGGTTCTAATTTTACTAAAATTTCTGTTATTTTTTATATTGAGGTTTTTTTAAATAAATTACTGTGATTGCCAGAAAGAGATAATATTTTTCGTCTAATAGAAATTTCTGTAAGTACATTCATCAAACTTTAGAACTATTAAAATACACTTCCACAAAATATAATATATAAACATTAAGGATCAAAAACGTGTGTGTTGCATTTCTGTAGTACTGAAATAATCTAATTTTATATAGACCTCTGGATATGCTAAGGTATAAAGAGCTTTCCTTAACAACAGTGTTACAATTACATTTCAGAGATGGACGAATTCATACAAGAATTGGATGAAGATGTTGAAGGTATGCAGAGCACGGTGTTATTCCTCCAGCAGGAGCTGCGAGCGTCGCACGCGACTGTGAACGGCAACCGACCGTCTTCGGCCGACAAGCGGACGTACTCGGGCAGCGAATGCAGCGACGCGCCCGTCGGCAAGCGGAGGCGTGCGTCGGTACTGTCACTCGACTACAACGAGGAGGAGGAACCCCTCACTGTGACCAATGGCGACGCAGACTAGCCCAGGACTTCAGTGTTCTTCTACCGAACACGATACTTACATATGAACTAGTGAAATTCGTGAGCTATCAATGTAGCATGTCGGCCATTTCGTTGACTCGAAATTGTTTTCAATGAATTTTAATTGTGAGTGATCATTGTTTATGTATTTTTGAGGTGAAACGCTGGTTCGGTGTCTGTCACTCATTTCGAAACACGTGATTGCTTATATATTAGCACATTTCAAGTACTTTAATTAGAAGACAACATAGACAAGTCTACGTCATTCCCATTGACAATTAATTGGTGATGATTGTTGTGTCAAATGTGAACATGAGACTAAAGAAAACATTTGGGAAAGTATAGTTTGAGTTCTATGCACAATAGTGGACCATGTGACCAGATCTAATAGTGAAATCGTTTTTGACATTGTTTTTTATACTTGAATATTGAGACTCAGTTGACAATTTTGTAATTTATTTATAATAAGTGAAATAATTGTGATATATATTAGAAAATCAGATGATATATGAGCAATAACAATTATTTTGTGTCGCTCGACTCCATGGTTTTATGGCATTTATTTTATTTACATGCCACAATTGGTGGAAATTATGAAATGGAGCCCATTGAATGCAACAAACAATAATTCCAAAACACCAACTTTAATGTTTTAATGATTATCACATATTTATTAAATTTACTCTAGTTTCTATATGAAATGTTTCTATTTTGAAATTACAATGAATGTATATAAAGCTATGTTAATAAACATATATTACTGGCATACATTTATTTGTATTATTTTAACTATACACTGCAATATAACATTTAACGTTGTATAATACATATAAAAATAGCTAGATGGGTAGTAGCTACACTTGAATTAGGTAGGTACTTATCATACAATATAAAACACGAGAACGAGGAAAACGTGAACATTTCAATACTAAAAATGTCGTAAAATTACTCGGCCGACATAATGTATTTGGTGCTTTTATATTAGTTTACTTTAGTACTGGTAAAGATTTATAAAAACACTGATTAGACTATTTGCCTTTGACAAAATAGCTATAGCATAAGCTGGTGGTCAATCTATTTTCCCAAATTAAAAAAAAAGTTACTCTGTATTATTGTAAACATGTACTACCACCACATTTGAGCTGAGTTTCCAGTTCTCATTTCGAAAGCATTCTGAACTAAGAGTCTGTAATAGACCTATATGAATAACAATATTTTGATTTTGGAATACAATATTTATTTACATAAACTTAATTGTTATTATTTAACGCAATATTTTCACGACTGTCATAAAGACATTGTTGTGTTTGCGGTAGTTTGTTTCGCATGGTTCACATCCAGACTTGATAGTCAAGAAGTATGGAAAGACGAACCTGTTTCTTACGAAGGCGCACAGGTATGGCGCAAGCAATGTTCTGCAGAGCTTTAGATATACTGCTTATCAAGAATCTAATGGATAATCAAGGTTAAGCGTATTTATTTTATACCGATTTTTTTGGATTATTAACTTCAAAGGTTAATTTCTATACAATATTAAAGGATTAGAAAAGAAGTCAGACCTGTTAGACAAACATGACAAAACTGGCTGTTTTCACGAGTTCAATTCCTCGACAGTATAAACATATTTATAACTATGATTGTTTGTATTGGTCTGGGTGTTTTATTTATTTATATGTTTATATGTATGTATTTACAAAATATAACTATGTATTTATATCATAACACAAGCGCTCACTGGGAGAGGGGGGAGGGGATTGTTAGTAATGTGGACTGATGATCCCATTGCTAACAATGTACCATGTCAGGTTGACCTTCACGCGATTCCCCCTGGAAACTATCGTGATAAATTCCCGGTGAATTTATCACGATGGGCTAACTGACCTGACTTCATGTTCATCATATCATCCTCCACTGGTGCCCCGCCAGCGTAAACCGTCAGTGCAGGCGTGTGCACCATTTCATTGTCATCCACAAAAAAAGCGCCCCCTGCTTAGCTTGGTACTAGATGGCGCTGTGTAAATTGTCCAGGGATATTATTATTATTAGCATCCTTGGCTGCTGCCCTGCCTATACCGTTAACTAAGGCGAGTGCATCATTCCATTTTTAACCATAATAATCCTCCAGCTGTATCAATATGGAGTTTATCACCGCACCAAGCTGACTTCTTAGTGCGTCAAGAAAATAAACTAAAAGTGCATCGTGTACTGAAAAGTAACGATCACACTGTTTTCGTTCTCAACGTTCAGGGACCTATTATAACCCAGAATATATTGAGCCCGATATATGGACAAAATATACTCTTAGAATCGGTAAGTTTACACCGTATTACACCACTAATAACAAAAAGTTTGTATGTCAATTTAAATTTCAGACATGTACTACGTGGAATATTCAGACATGTATATAGGAATATTTATGTATACGTATCTGTATGTAGATATGTGTAACACCTGTTATAGTTGAATAAAAGCTATTGTCATAAAAAGCATTGGAAACTTCCTCTTTCTATTTTAGGACATCGAATGAATTGGAGGAGGTATCCAACATATCAAATTATCGACGAATATTTTAATTACTTATCGGAGAATTTCTCGTCGATTTGTAAAATAAAAATAATTGGAAGGTCTGTGGAGAATAGCACGATAAAGGTACCTACTCATAAAATGGTATTTTCTACATACGCTGCTCTCGTCCACTAACGAACCTATAATAAAATTATTTCGAAATATTTAGAGCATGTTTGTTGTAGAGTAGAGAAACGAAAGTTTTTATAGTTACTGAAGGAACGGTAGGGTTGAAGTATCTATAACATACAGAAGTAGTAAGTTGCTAAAACTATACAAGTAAACAACTTCTACTTTACATAAATTATATGTACAGATATAGGAGATAATTATTAAATCTTTTGTTCTTTCTAATATTATTAGTTTAGAAAATTTAATAAATCCTTTCAGACGGTTCATATTTCAAACGGCAAGCCAAAAAATAAAGTACTTCTCATAACATCTGGGATGCATGCACGGGAATGGGTCAGCATTACTTCTGCTCTATATATTATTAATGTTATTGTTACAAAATTTTATCAACAAGCACTATATGGACTGGTAACTAGTTAGAAACTTAGATACTATATATTCTATAAATTTACTACGTCAAGCAGATAAGCTAAGTACATGTTAGACACATAGATGATATTGTAGATGAGAATCGCATATTCGGCCTATAGGTACTTACAGTAGGCACGCTTTCACTATCAATTGGACAATGTTAAAACTGGAGTTTTTGTCTAAGTATTATACAGTTTACTGACTGCATAATAATAATAGACTACACTTAGTTCCCCATTTTTATAGATAAAATATAGTCTATATGTTCGTAATTTTATACAATTTATCTTCAAATTAAACATTAAAATGCAGTCGTTATGCCGTGAAAAGGTAACTAGAGGCAGACAGATTTTTTGTATTGATATTAGTAAATGGACTTTTTTATTTGACGTTGGTTCAGAGAGGAATTCGTTATTATAGATATAATATTGTCTGTGGTATAGAGGACAGGTGGTTCGATTACTATCAATGTACGGTAAATTCTCTCGGAAATTGTAATGTTTAATTCTTAATAATTTTTACACCGATAAATTAATTGAACTGACAGACTTCATCCTAATACTATACCCTTACTTTTTTATTATTTAATCTATTATATAAATTAATATCAACTAGGTATATCATTCCATTGATCAATCCAGATGGCTATGAATATTCTCAGACAATTAACCGTTTCTGGAGGAAGAATCGTCGCCTGTCCACGTCATGCATGGGTGTTAATATCAATAGGAATTTTGATTGAGTAAATTATCTCAAAAAGTTTAATCTAACTTTTCCAATTTAATTTATATGTAGATAAGTAAGTATAGATGTATAGATTTACAATATAAAATTAACACTAAGCCAAAAATATCCTGCATATACATATGCATGTCTTGGTATGGTTATCCTCGCTAAATAGTTCTTGAACCTAAATATTGACAGAATTTAATCTAAGACCCATACGTGTAAGATATACCCAGGCTATTACCTACCTTATGAAAAAATGTTCCAACATTTTAATTCAGCTTTTAGGACTACTTGTATCGTTTGTTCCTAATTTCTCATATACCAGGATACCTTTCAGCAAAGACTGGAGTGTCGACGGTATATCAAAAGAAAACGAGTGCAGAGAAGCATTAGCACGACCAATCGCGTTCTCTGAACCAGAAACCATTGCTTTACGTGTAAGTTTTTTTTACTATTATACATAGTATTGTTTGCTGATGACACATCACTTATTTTCAAAGTGAAAAGAAATACAAAGGATTTTAATAATATAAATATTGCTCTTGAGGATGTTCTAAACTGAGTAACCTGAAACAGTCATGCTCGCTATAAAGTTCAAACTTGTGGCGGTGTGGTGGGCCAGGTCGATGTGCTCCCTCAAATATGGTTGAGTACAATGATGGCTAGCTCATACGTCATACTCCTGAACGGGTGCTACTTGTGGGGACTGGTCTGTTCAGGTTGTGAACACTGATTAAATTTTTTGTTCTTTGCGATAGCATATGCTGGTGGTCACACTATTCTCCCAAATTTGAATTTTAAAAACTATATTTATTATAAACATGTTCCACTATTATTTGAAAAAATACGAGCTGAGTTTCTTGTCAGTTCTTCTCATCTCGATATCATTCCGAACTGACGGTAGATTTGACACATCATAAGAGTCTGTAATAGACCTACATGAATAAAGATATTTTGAATTTGAATTTATTTAATTAGAATAACAAACGAGCTAATGGTCCATCGCATAATATTAGGTACATCTAGATCATCAAACACATAACTTTTATGCCATGAATGAAACTGCTTCTGTATCAGAACGCTCAATAGCTCCAACAATAGAAACTTGATACACCAATATCATTATAATAAACCTCGTATACTTATTAAGCATAGGTATAACAATTTGTAAGCATTATTATTGTTAAACTATTATTAGATTTAAAACTATAATAAGATTAGATTAGAAAAATTGTTACTAACAAATGGCATTGATACCATAACAAACATATTATTGTAATTATGGTAGATATATCCCCAAATAATTCAGAACTATGATTTGTAAATATAATTTAACCAAGACTCAAGATGCAAGTACCTATACATATTGAAAATGGAAATGTACAAGTGGACTGTATTATTTTTCAGGATCTAGTGTTGCAGTCGAAGAACCAAATAAAAGCATTTATAGATTTACATTCGTATGGTCTAACTAATATTATATCCATGGTGTGCTCTACCTAAGGCCACCACAGATGCTGAATTACACAAACATACCGCTCAAAGCATGGCAGAGGTAGGTACATTGCCGTAACTTGTCTTATTAGATAATAATATAATTATATTTCTGTGTTTTCAATTCCTCAACCGAA